CATATAATTTTGATGTAAAATATTCATTGGATTATCTCAAAATCTATTTTCATATCTAATTATAAAATTTTAAATTCCAAAAATGGTTAAAATCAAATAGATCGATAAACATATGAAAATCTTGAAAATGAACGGTTTAGATAAGGTGTTGTAAGATGTGCACTATTTCTAGGACTCAAATCATATTTTTTTTTCATAGTCATACATCTCGATGTCGAGATGATCAATTAGAGGGTTTTTCAATATTAAAACAACATTTTCTTATGGATTTTTGAGGTGCATCCGTAGTTCTACATTTTATGGTTGCAACCTTATATAAACTTTTTGCTATATATATATATATATATATATAAATCAAAATACACCTTAGTGACAAACTGTTTAATATTTTACACATTTCATTTGATTTAATTTCAAAACATCCATTAAATACACATGATCCTGAGTTGGAATAGTTGGAAAAGAAAAAATATTTAAATACTTGAAATCATAAATATAGTTTGATAAATTCCCACATGTGTGCGTACACGTGAATGCGGTGTATGTATGTGCATGTGATGATCATATTGGTCCCTGCCACACCTTCTGGCATGGGACCAGTGTAGATCCCAATTTCAGTCTCGCTACCAGATTGGGATTTCACAAGGTAACCTGCTGAATAGCAAGTTAATGGTGACTGAAGCCCTTACTTCTTTCTTCCAAATATTCTTTCAAGAGAAGAAAAATAGGATCTCCCCTCTCTAAGATGAAAGGCAAACGAAAACGGAAGACTCTTCTCCCTCTCAAGGAAATCGAAAGTCTATCCCTCTCCCTATCTGCTTGTTGTGCGCTAGTTTCAAACCCAAACCAGGATTTCAAAATCAAGTTTTCAGTAGGAATTGGATGAACCTCTCTATAGCCTTAATAAGAAGGCAAGGGATTAATGGCAAGAAAAGTTTGCTTTATCCATTTGATTTTCTTTTTTCACGTTGGGATGCTGAAGATCCGTACCTATCACAAGGTCATTAATGGAGAAAATGATAGAAAGTAAACCTGAACTTCTCCAGTTGCCCTAAATCCTATCTCATCAAAGACTTGAAAAAACTTAGAATTTTTGATTCAGAGACAACTTTCTCCTTCATGGTAGGACAAAGCACGACACACTAAACCTATTTTATTGTCATTGAAAAGGCCAAGAATGAAAGAGAGAGAGAGAGAGAGAGAGAGAGAGAGAGAGATACAATAAGAGGATTTGGAGGTGGTTAAGGCTGTTTTAGAGAGGGATACAAACCTTGTTTTTGAGACCACTGTCTATGATAAGCTCTCTGTTCTCTACATTGCAACTACAAAATGTGTCTAGGTTATTTCTCTGATACTGGATCAGTCGGTTCATCCCAATCTTCCTAGTTCTCTGTGCCGCGCAATCCATTTCTATGGGGATTCTTCTCTCTGCTGCACAATCCACTTCTATGGAGATTCTTGGGGCTTTGCAAGATTTGTGAATGTCTTAGATATATGAAAGAGGAAGAAAGAGAGAGTCTTCTGCCATTAGGGTTCTAACACTCCACTATTGCCCTGGCTTGAGAGAGAGAGAGAGAGAGAGAGAGAGAGAGAGAGAGAGAGAGAGACTAGTAGTTAAGTAAGTTCTCGTTGTAGGAGAAGAGACGACCGCTACAACGTACACGTACGTAACTCGACCTACTACCGTTGGTTGTTAGACTAATCTGTACTCAGTG